CGAATAGTCTTTGTCTTCAAGTTCTTGGTGCTTTTAGAAATGCCCTCTCAGAAAAAGGAAGGAAACCAACGAAACTGATACACTTCTGGAAGTATTTAAAGATAATTTATCAGATATTCCTAGTGAGATCGAAGATGCGGATGACTGTTTTGACGATTCCGGAGACGATTCTACTGATTCTACTGACAGTGAAATTATTAGACCTGTAAGGAAGCACAAGGTGGCGGTGCTTTCAAGTGATTCCGACACTGATGAAACTACTGATAATTGTTGGTCTGAAATTGACACACCACCACGCTTACAAATGTTTGAAGGTCATGCTGGGGTCACTACATTTCCGTCTCAGTGTGACTCTGTACCCTTTGTGACCAATCTCTTTTTTGGTGATGAATTGTTTGAGATGTTGTGCAAAGAGCTGTCCAACTATCACAATCAAACCGCAATGAAACGCAAAACACCATCTAGAACACTAAAGTGGTCTCTGGTTACACAGAAGGACATCAAGAAATTCCTTGGGAAAAAAAAATTCCTTGGCCTAATTATTCTGATGGGTCAAACAAGAAAAGATAGCTTGAAAGACTATTGGTCAACAGATCCTTTGATATGTACCCCTATATTTCCACAGACAATGAGTCGCCATAGATTTGAGCAAATATGGACATTCTGGCATTTCAATGATAACGCCAAAATGGACAGTCGCTCGGGGAGACTTTTCTTTATTTAAAAAAATATATTTTATTGATTTTTTACAGAGAGGAAGGGAGAGGGATAGAGAGTTAGAAACATCGATCAGCTGCCTCTTGCACACTCCCCACTGGGGATGTGCCCGCAACTAAGGTACATGCCCTTGACCGGAATTGAACCTGGGACCCTTCAGTCTGCAGGCCGATGCTCTATCCACTGAGCCAAACCGGTCAGGGCTTTTAAAATATATTTTATTGATTTTTTACAGAGAGGAAGGGAGAGGGATAGAGAGTTAGAAACATCGATGAGTAAGAAACATCGATCAGCTGCCTCTTGTACACTCCCCACTGGGGATGTGCCCGCAACTAAGTTACATGCCCTTCACCGGAATTGAACCTGGGACCCTTCAGTCTGCAGGCCGATGCTCTATCCACTGAGCCAAACCGGTCAGGGCATCAGGGAGACTTTTCAAGATCCAACCTGTGCTGGATTATTTCCTGCATAAATTTCGAACAATATACAAACCAAAGCAACAGTTGTCTTTGGATGAGGGAATGGTTCCATGGAGAGGACGTTTAAAATTTCGCACGTACAACCCAGCGAAAATAACAAAACACGGTTTACTTGTTCGGATGGTGTGCGAGAGTGACACCGGCTATATCTGCAATATGGAGATCTACGCTGCTGAAGGAAGGAAATTGCAAGAAACTGTTCTTTCAGTCCTTGGACCCTATCTTGGCATACGGCACCATATTTACCAGGATAATTATTACAATGCTACATCTACTGCTGAATTGCTGCTACAGAACAAAACTAGAGTCTGTGGGACTATTAGGGAGAGTAGAGGTTTACCGCCAAATTTGAAAATGAAAACATCAAGAATGAAGAAAGGTGACATAATATTTTCCAGAAAAGGCGATATTCTTCTCCTAGCATGGAAAGACAAGCGGGTTGTCTGAATGATATCAACGATCCATGACACTTCTGTCTCGACAACAGGGAAAAAAAATAGAAAAACGGGAGAGAATATTGTAAAACCTACCTGCATCAAGGAATACAATGCCCACATGAAAGGCGTTGACCGTGCGGATCAATTCCTTTCGTGTTGTTCCATTCTAAGGAAAACGATGAAATGGATAAAAAAAAGTAGTGCTGTACCTTATAAACTGTGGACTTTTCAATTCATTTAGGGTGTACAACATCCTCAATCCACAAGTAAAAGTGAAGTATAAACAGTTTCTGCTATCGGTGGCGAGAGACTGGATAACGGATGACAATAATGAAGGCTCTCCGGAACCAGAGACAAATCTGTCCAGCCCTTTCCCTGGGGGTGCAAGGAGAGCACCTCGTAAAGATCCACCCAAAAGGTTGTCAGGTGATATGAAGCAGCATGAACCTACGTGTATTCCAGCGAGTGGAAAGAAAAAGTTTCCTACGAGAGCCTGCCGCCCATGGAAAAAGGAGCGAATCTAGATACTTATGTAAATTTTGTTTGGTCCCTCTTCATAGAGGAAAATGTTTTACGCAGTACCATACGTTAAAAAAGTAGTAGGAACTTTAATTGTTTAATTGTTTGTTTTTGTAAATAAAAATGTTATAATTATTGAAAAACAACACCTAAAGTGCATTGTGATCTGTAGTTATGATGATTTAAATAATGTGCAGTTTGCCCAAAAACGTGTGGTCCCTGGCGTATGTCTTAGAGATTTCTATGCGGTACGCAATGTGTTAATTTCCTTTTCAGATGGTTGTTAGTGTATAGAAGAACAACTGATTTTTGCATGTCGAATTTATATCCTGCTACTTTGTTGAATTGGTTTATTAATCCTAATAGCTGTGTGTGCATATGTGTGAGCATGTGTGTGTGCGTGTGTGCGCACTCTAGGGTTTTTTACATGTAAGATTATGTCATCTGTGAACAGCGATACTTTCTCCCCCCAATCTGGGTACTTTTATTTCTTGTTCTGGCCCAGTTATTCTGGCTAGAACTTCTAGTACTATGTTGACTAGAAGTGGAGAAACGAAACATCCTTCTTTGTTCCTTAGCTGAGGGAAAAGGTTTGGGTTGTTCATCATGGGATGTGAGGTGCTGTGGGTGTTCATATATGGCCTCTCTCATGTTAGGGAAGCTCACTCTATTCTTAGCATATTGAATGTTTTTACCTTGAAAGGGTGTTACATGTTGTCAAATGCTCTTTCTGCTTCAATTGAGATGGCCATATGTGCTCTTTTTCTTCACCTATTAGAGCCAATGTTTTGTGTGTTTCGTTTGGATTTCTTGCTGTTACGGCAGGAGGAGGGTAAATCAGTCCCAGTTATTCTGTCTTGGCTGGAAGCAGAAGTTCCTCAAATATGTTATTTTGAACTCTCTCCATGTTGCTATAACTAGATTTAATTCATCCTTTTAATGCCTATAAGGTCTCGTTGTGTGAATATATTACATCTTACTTAGCAATTCCTTTGCTGTTGGACATTTGCGTTTTGTTTTGCTATGTATTATAAACAATGCTGCCCCCTGGGGCAAAGATCCAGCAGTGAAACTTCTGGGGTGTAGGGTGTGTTCATTTATCGATCCCATAGATCATATTACGTTGCTTTTCAAAGTGGGTCTATCAGTCAGTGTTCACGCCCATCTGCACAGCATAGAAGTCCTATTTCCCCACGTTATTGCCAAATATCGCATTATCAGACATTACAGTTTTATGCAGTGTGATAGGTGAAAAGGGTAGTCATTATTACTTCAATTATTTTTTGTTGTGTATTGGTAATGTTGAGCATCTCTTTCTGTTTATTGGCCTTATATTTTACTTATTTTTTGAATTGTCCTTTTAAAACCTTTGCTCACTTTTCTATTAGGTTATTTTTCTCTTTATTATTGATTTGTATATATTTTTAAAAATATTTTTTATATTATCTCTCTGTCATTATTGGTCTCAAATATTCTTTCAGTCTGTGGCTTGCTTGTAGTTTTACCTATTTGTCCTTTCTTGAATATACATTTTTAAAAAATAAAATGTTGATGTGGTCAAATTTATTAATTCATAGTTTCCATTTTTTATTTAGAAAGTCTTCTTTAGCCGAAACCGGTTTGGCTCAGTGGATAGAGCGTCGGCCTGCGGACTGAAGGGTCCCAGGTTTGATTGCGGTCAAGGGCATGTGCCTGAGCTTCGGGCACATCCCTGGTAGGAGTGCAGGAGGAGGCTGATCGATGTTTCTCTCTCATCGATGTTTCTAGCTCTCTATCTCCCTTCCTCTCTGTAAAAAATCAATAAAATATATTTAAAAAAAAAAGAAAGTCTTCTTTCTTCTAAGGTCATAAAAACAAATTCCCATCATTGGGAAAACAATCTTATTTTGTTGTTTTATAGTTAGGCCTTTAAAGCATCTAGAATTTATATTTCATAAATATGAGCTAGAGATTTAACCTTATTTTTTCCTTACAAAGCCTCAATTGTTCTAACCTTATTTGCTGATAGTTCATCCTTGTTATGTGCTACCATTAGTGACTGTCCACTGTGGGCTAGGCTCTGCACGAGGTACTTCATATGCCTTTCCTTGACTACTTATCCAATCAACCCTATAAGCAAGGTATCATCCCATTATTCAGGTGGGGAAACTGAGTCTCAGAAAGGTTAAATAACTTGCCCAAGGTCACACAGCTAGCAAGTGGTGGGGGCAGAATTTGAACCCCGAGTAGATACAGAGAGAAGATGGGAATTCAGTGACCTGGCCTGTTCAGCAGGGACATGGGCCTGGGGACCCTTGGGGAGCAGGAACGGTTCTCACCCTCAATCCTACTGTCTCTGTGAACTGGGTAACTCCTTCTATGGTGCGAGGCCCGTCCTGTCCATTGTAGGATGCTCACCTGCATCCCTCCTTCCTGTCCTTTACAGTCTGGAGCACCTTCCCGCTTCTCCCTCCTCCTTACCCTTGACCTTGACCCTGGGCTGTGATAAAGAAAACCGTCAAATATTGGGAAATAGTCCCTGGGGGATAAATTGTTCCCTGTTAAGTATCACTAATTCAGATAATAATAATTATTAAGTATCAGTATCACTTACTAATCATCATGAATGCTAATGACACTGACACTAAGGATCAATAGGGATTAATGGTAACATTTGTCCTTGGGCTCTTGCCTCTTTGTAGCTGAAGGACAGAGGTTGTAGCTTTCCCTCTGAGTCACACCTTCTCAGGGCTCTGCCCCCAACCCCCTGCCTGTGAGTCCCCCGACACCCGCTCCCCGGCTGTGAGCCTCCTGACACCCCCTCCCCGGCTGTGAGAGGTGCTCGCTTGCTGCAGGTCCTGGACTCGTGCCACCCGCCTGTGCCGGTGCTGCTCTGGGTCTTGTTCACGGGGAAGCACATGTGAACATTTGCGCGAAGGCGGGGGCTCTGGGGCTTGGGGTGGCTCATGTTTTCTTTTTAATATACTTTGCTCAACACCTTGTTGCCGATGAAGACAGATGGAAACATAAAACCCCGCTGATGCAAACGATCCCTCAACCCAGACGTGGTGGGCGAGGGGCCTCCATCATTCATGACTCGCGTCAGCTGTAAACACGTCTGGGGTCACCGGCGGCGTCCAGCCCAGCCAGCTCTGGGGACGCCGCTGTCAGCACCTCCCACGCCCGGACCATGGAAAAGTGCGTTCAGATCCCAAATGCTGCGCGTGTCACGGCCCTGCCTATAGCGTGGCCAATGGGGCTTCCACGCTAAAGGTCTAAAAGTATAAGAACCATCAGGTCCCAGATGTTAAGAATAATTGAGGGCCGTGTACGCCCTCCGTTTCTGTGGCTGACAGTCTTGCCCCGTTCCGCTTGGCCAGTGCACGGAGGGCAGTGCCAGCCCCGTTCCCTGTTGCCCTGAGGAGCCCTGGAGAGAGTTGACCCTCCACCCCCAAGCCCAGGGCCTTGCTGCCTGCAGGCTTCACCCCGCCATCCAGGCTGGCACCCTTGCAAAAGGAGGTCCTGCCAGCCCACGC